AAACATCTGGTATGTTGAAAGGGGTACTTCCCCAAGTGGTAACTTATAAAAACTGCTATAGTGGCCCACTAACTGGCCTCAGGAAAAGGAAAACAAAATTGGGAAGGCTAGAACTGTTGATCTGATGAAAAGAGAAAGCTCTGGTTTGAGCCAAATAACAACCAGAGGCTCTAAAATTCCTACTCCTAACTACTGTACGGGCATTAAATCATTGGTCCGCTGACAGAATGATAGCATTTATGAATCAGTATTGGTAGGGAACTATTAACAAGGCCCCAAAAAGCACCTACTTGTCCAAAGTACAAACCAGGAAAGTCTGATCTAACTGCTCCCGGACATTTTGCAGTCCAGCAGATGATTTCCATACAGTTTTCCCATCTCATGTACATAAATATATTTCAGTCATGATCTGTATGTTTTCTCACTAGACTGAAGCTTTTCCTTACAGACAGGCTATGGCCTCTTCCACAGCTAAGTCCTTGTGGAAAATATTGTCCTGACACAGAAAACCCCTCCAGAACCCATAGGAATCAGGGAATCCATTTTACCAGTCAGGTGCTTTGACAGGTCTGTTCTCTGTGGCCAGGTTGACAACACTTTCACTGTGCTGACAGACTCAGGTTTAGTCAAATGCACTAACAACGTTAAGACTCAAATGGCTAAGTTTGCAGAAATCCTCTAAATACCTTGGCCAAGAGCACTGTGGCTGGTCCTTCTAAATCTCACATCCACCTCCTTTGGAATTTAAACTCTGAGATAGTCACAGAGAGCCCAATGCGCCTGATCCCTGCCTCTTTTGATCCACAGCTTAGGAAAGGAAATATACTTCAATATTCTAAAGGCCTAAATTCTTCTCTCAAAATTAACCATGTTCTATTAAAAAAAAAAGTCGTTTCATAGTGCATTCCAGGAAGAAGACCTTAAAGAACACACTGCGCCCTGGACACTTCATCTGTTGGGAAAGACACCTCCAGAAAGGCTCTTTTCAACTTCGCTACAAAGGCCCCTGTTAGGTTCCGCTAACCTACCCTTCCACTGCCAAACTGTAGGCAATAGACTCCATCACATGTTTAATAAAAGCAAGTGATCCTGACTGAGCCTGCATACCACCTGGCAACCTGCAGATAAAATTTCCCAAAACTGATGCAGAGCACGCCTGAGGCCTGTTCAGACCAGGCCAGTAAGGGGGCTTAAAATTCACCGAAGTCTCTATTTCACCTAGACTAATAACTGATCATGTATTCTTATCCAATTCATAGTCTCTGAGTTTGCAACCTACAGGCTATATTACTAAAACACTGTGTTCCAAACACAGTTTCTTTTGAAATAACAATAATATTTCATTGCTTCATCTTTGATTCCTGCATTGTGTCTTCCCAAACCTCTTATTTAATTCTTTCAGTTCTGAGCATCCTTTTCTCAGATTCACTATTCTAATATACCAACTGGAGATGGGTAATTCCTGAGATCTCCCCTTGCCCCACTTATCACTCAAATGTGATCACAACAGGTTTACAATTTATATGTTGTCCCTTGATGCCAGGAAGGACCTTTCCTGAGAAACATGTTTCTCAGGAAAGGTCCTTCCTGGCATCAAGGGACAAAAGGCCACTGAAATCAGAAAAACCTGACTCTTAATCAGAAATGATTTTGGAGAAATATCTTTATCCAAAGGGGGGGTATGTGAAACTTAATAAATAGAAACCTCATTTAAAATGGAGTCAGGAGCCCTTGCAGGTGTGGCTCAGTTGATTGGGCACATATATAGGTCATGGGTTCAATCCCTAGTTGGGGTGCATATGGGAGGCAACCAATTGATGTTTCTCTCTCTCCTCCCTCCCTAAACTCAAAAAACATATTTTGAAAAATAAAAGCAAATAAAATGGAGTCATAAAGCTAGAAAAGAAAACTCTCACACACATAATCAACACACACTAATGATACCATTAGACACCTTACCATGCATCTCCCACAGGAAGTGATACTATTTTGCTGCCTGATCACAAGAAAGATTCGTCTTTGCCTGTTAACAGCTTAGCCAAAGACACACTGCCATAACTCAAGCAATGAAAAGTCACTGTACCCCAAACTTTCAGTTCCCCTTCTTTCTTTCTCTGGACTTCTTAGTTTACCTTTAGACCACACATCCCAAAATGCCATTTTCTGTTGTTCCTGAATAAACCCATTCTGCTGGAGATGTATCTGGCTGCCTATTTGTTTAAGAAAAACAAGATTACGGATTGTTCCTCTTAGAAACAGGAGGAATTTTTCTCCTGAGCTCTAAGACCCAGCTGAATATTATATTTAACTTCCTGTTATTAATACTGATACAAGAGTATTGATACTGAGGCAAAGAATGGAGCATTTGGAACCACAGTGTGACAAGACAGGCAAGATCTCTGTATTCTCCTGGGGAGAGAACATAGTTCTGAAAGAGTAACTACAAGGTAGAGATGATTTGAACCAAATGTGTGTGTGTCTACATGAGATAAGGTGGCCACAGAAGGTTCCTCTGAGGGAGTAAGATCACAACTGAGTTTGAAGGGTAAGAAGGAGCCAATTATGCAAGAGGCAGCAGGAAATGTTCCCACACTGAGGGACGGCAAGTGCAGAAGTCCCAAAGCAGCAGAATTTGGCCTGTCTCATGAGCAGAAAAGTCTCCCCTTGACCAGTCATTTGTTAAATGCTGTCAGAGAATTATGCTCCTTCCCTCCAGAGCACCTGTCTGGGGTTATAACATACAAGTATTATGGTTTGGTTACTGTCTGCCAGTCCCAATAAATTTCAGTAAATATTGATTGACTGCCTATTGTGTGCCTGGCACTGGGGATCTAACAGTGAGCAAAACACAGTCCCTGTTTATGTTTGTGTGTGTGTATGCACAGGTGCAGGTGTAAACAGACAAATAATAAAAAAGGATCATGAAAATACAAATAGTTTGTTACTGCTCACCAGTGTATCTCCAGAACCAGCACAGGAATGGCACATTCATGGCAAATATTCATTGAATGAATTCTGCTCAGGACAGAACGAAGCATGCAAACTGTACATGTAACAGGATCCCCAAAATAACGTGGGTGTAGACATACACATGCATATAAGACAGCTGGAAATACACAACAGTATTCAGTGGTTGTCCTTTTGAGACAAAATAGTGAGAAGCTAGGAAAATTTTTTAGCAAGTGAAATAGGGAAACTGAGAGAGAGCCAAACACAGTGGCCAAGCAGTTTACAGTCAGGTGCAGACTGTCCCCAAGGCAAAGGCCCCAAGTGTCTGGCATGGGGCAAAATTAGTAAAATAAGGACTTCACCCCCAGGATAACCTTTCTGCCCTGGAGACAACATCTAGGCCTCAGCTGTATTTCAGCTCCAGACCCAGAAAAGCAGCAAAACCAGGTGGAAGACGCCAGAACCAACTGCAAGGACTAAAGACCTGCCCTGTCACTGACCAATCAGCAAAGACCATGACCCTAAAAAAAAAGCACACCTAGAGAACTGATGAATACAGAATATACCCTCCCCTGAGACCTCCACTAAGATTCCCACCTGCAAGAATAAGATAAAAAGCCTCAAGAAAAAGGATCCAGTGCACACTCTCCCTCTGCAGAGCAGCCTGAACCACTTCCTTTCCCTTCTTCTCCCCTCACTTCTTTCTTCACAGGTGCATGTCTTCTAAACGCTCAGGCAATGGGCAGCTGGCAGCTTGTCCCAGGCTGATCCCCTGAACCTGTCCCAAAGGCCCTGGTTCTGACTTCCAGTGAACTAAGACAGCCACGCCTAGGCTCTCCTATTGCTTCTTCTATGCTAAGCCCTTCCTTGTGTTTCATTGTCCTCAGCTTTAATAAATGTATCCTCACAGTCACCTGGACTCTTGTCATAAAAATCTTTCCTACACAAAGTCAAGAACCCACACACTACATCTGGCCATAGGCAGACCCCCTCAGGGCCAGGTGACACTTCGTGTATATTTTATACAATAAGCATGTTGTGTCTTTTTAGCAATATAAAGTACTTATTCCATTCAATGAAAAACAAATCAAATTTATAGTGAATAAACCTTCAGCCTTAGTTTATGACCTGTAGGGGAAAACCATATTAACATTATTTGTTGTCTGTTTCTTAGGATACCAATGTTTCTTAGGTTACTTCACATGTCCTCTCAAAAATGACTTAACCTAATGAAAAAAAAAAAGGTCAAAAAAGCCATTTGGTAATTGAATGGGACAACTGAGTATACTCGATGGGAACAAGATGACCACGGGGGGGGGGGGCGCAACAGCCTGCAAATTAATACTATGAATTTAGGCAACAAGGAGCCTGTTAACTTTAAACACAAAAGCACTGGGCACGCTTCCAAAACTGCATCTCTCACTTAAGGGCTCAGTATGCGCTCCTCAGTACCCATATAAAGGAAGCAGTGAGCTTTCTTGCCCCAAACTCAGCACAGATACCCTGGCCACTTCCGTAAGGCACAAAACAGCTAATACCCGGCCCTAGCTGCGGCACCCACTACACAGCCCAGTGGGGTACAAACACCCCACTCATCAAAACACCTCCCCGCCTAGGAAACACTGCAAACACTTCCCACCATGAGTCCCTAGCAATATCCCCATGCATCTGGGCACCCAAGATAAAGCCGTCACTTTGAGCACCGGGTTTGCACTTCCTATTCCGCATCGCTCGGCCTGAAACACCTGCAAGCTTTTGCTTGGCCCAGGGCAAATACTAGCCGCGTGCAGCACCCTGCAAGGCTCAATGTCGATCACGAAACAACCTTCACCGCTGGCAATGCAGAGTCCCCAGTCCCCTGGAATCGTGCACAGCACAACCCGGAGGAGCTCTGGCCACGCCGTCACACCAACTCCGCATCACATGGGTCGACCAAGCCCTGCGTCTCCTACAGGACCCAACAAGCAAACCCTTCCCCGCCTTCGGCTCCAATCGGTCTACTGCAGACCTGCTGCAGTTCGACTCCGGAGGGTACCTCTTCAGGCCCTTACCGGTGGATGTGGGTAGCAGGAACACTAGTACCATTAGGAAGATCCCAACAAAGCTCCAAGAAGAAAAGGAACTCTCGGGGCGGCGGGCAGATGTCGTTCGAGACCGGCAATAAGCCGTCATTTTCCGGGAGGTTAGCAGGAAACGTGAGGAACGGTCAGCACCCCACCAAACGTCAGACTCGCGGCAGCTTAAGTGCGGAACCCTGCTGGTGTACAGCCTGGGCGACGCCCAAGAGGAAGTGACGGCTAACTGGAATCGGGCGGAGGCCAAAGGCGGCCTGCTAGGCGGGGCTTCGGTGCTGGGTTCTTGCCTCGGTGGGGGAGGGGGGAACAGGGCGTGGCCTGGACGGGAACTAAACCAATCAGCTTCGTCAGAAGCTCGGGCTCCGCCCACGCTCCCTGGGACAGACCGCTTACCTAGGCGGAAGCACCGACGCAGTTTGCGGGAAGTGGTGTCTCACGCCGGAATCTCGAAATATACTGTAACCGCCCTACTCAGGAAGGGCGAGGAGAGAACCAGAGCTGGTCTAGCCCAGTTTGCGCTATTTCCGGAGCCCTAGATAGAAGAATAAAGCGCACCGACACAAAAATAGAAACCCCGAAACTTGGACAGAGGTTTGCATAGGGGCTCACGTCTTTCAAGTCTCCATTTTTGTCTTGGGGCCTCCAGACTGTCAGTAGTGCCAGGGCCCATGGTCAACGTTTGGCATTAATTAGGCATTATTAGGGACAATACTTGAGATTTCCTTGGCTGAACGTGTGCTACTGAATCCTCTCAAGGCCAGCTATATTTCAAAATCACAAAGGTGGTTTGGCCACTGCACCGCCAATCCCAATGTAAATGACTTTGACCCTACTTCTCTGAGAGAAACCCTGGGAAGGTAAATTAATAACCTGGCCATAAGCATATGAAGCCTTGCCCTTGAGCAACTTTTGTTGAAGAGGAAATATACATGAATGAAAACGGTGAGGACAAGTTAATGCTTAATTCTTGGAAACAATGCCATTGTTGTTGGAATAGGTAGGGATTTATAGGATTTATAATAATAGGGAGAATTTTTCTGATGCAATGGCCTCTCAATGCTAAAAGTATAAGAATGAGCAAGATTTATTTGTTGAATTGTGAGTAAACCTGTATGACTAATAAAAGGCTAACTTGGCCAGTATTAAAAGAACAAACAAAAAGTTAACAATTTCTTCCTACTAGTTGCAAAGAATACAAATGTCAACAATATGAGTAAATATTGGGAGGACCAGCACCCTCAAAAGTTTAGTTTTTAACATAACTTTGTCAAGTGTTTTTGATGTTTCAAAATGCACATGACTTTTATAACAAGAGTTCCACATAAAATTCATCCCACAGAGGTTATCAGACCTGTGAGCAAAGATGTGCAATTCTGGAAAAAATATAATATCTTAAGTGTCTAGCAAAAGTGTAAGAAATTTTTGCTAGGTGACTAATGGGATAGAAATCTATGCAGTAAGCAATGTAAAAAAACATTGATATGAGAAACTATGCTCTAATCTTAAGTGAAAAGAGCAAATTCCAAATCAGTACTTTTGGCATTTCTTTTATAAAACAAGAGTAGTTTATTGATACACATAAGGAGAGATTAGTTGGAAATATACCAAAATAACTAATAGTTCATAGGATCATGCATATTTCATTTTTTGTGCTTTTTGGTTTTCTGTATTGACCACATTACATGTGAAATCAGGTAAATAAAACAATTTAATAACCCAACTTTTATATCAGCGTCTACTTTGTTCACAGAATGATGATAGAAACTATCACAAAGCATTAAGGAATGAGAGGATGGTGAGGAAATGGAAGATCTCAGTACAAATTGCAAATGCATCTTCTGGGATTACAGAACTTTATATGTATTTAAACAATTCTGCATCTGAAATGTACTGAAGACTTTCAGAGTTCAACAAATCATGGTATTTCCCCAACCAACACAATGTTTGGATTTTCAGCTGAGCAAAATGACAGGTAAGTGGAATTGTATAAAATAAAGACCTTAGAATCTTGGATTATTAAGTCCAGACACTCCATGATGACACTTACTTGGAGGAAGTATATTTAAGGTAATAAATAGGGAACTCAATGAAGTGGAATTATCATTTTTCTTAATTATCACAGGTATGAAGGAGTGATGTAACAGAAATGTTCTGTTGTGGTGGTAGTAGGGTGCACTCCACCCACAGAGTGCCCCCTGCTGCCATGGATGAGAATGAGTCTACCAAGACATCATCTGCTTGGGGAGGAAAGGCTGACCAGTCTCTCAGAGAAAGGCGTCAAGCCCCTCTCTCGGTGGGCTTTTATTGAGTTTAGCTTGCATAGAGATGCATATCAAAGAAAGGAGGTATGGTTTACAGATAACATTTCTGAGATCACAGGCGTCCTTTTGAGACAGGGTGATGCCAATTGGTCATAAAACCTTGGGAAACAAAGTTATTTTGTGCTTGGACCCTTAACATCTAAATTGAGGATATTCTTAGCAAACCAGTTTCATGGGACTTTATGCATTCTTTCTTAGGCCTGATCGCCCCCACTGGGAACTGCCAGTTCTGGCACAGGGCTACACCCCCCTTCAGCACTGTTCCAGGCCTGGATCAGGTGGAGGAAGCAAGGCAGGCAAGAGATTGTGAGACTTTTTACAGATAGAATGAGGACTAAGGCTATGATAAAGCCGAGAGGAGAGATCTTTTGTTCCTTCTCCACAGTCCCTTAAGCCCTTCCCTGATGGCCCTTCATGACCATGTTTGTCTTAGGTTGTTTCTTTCTTGAGGAATCTTACTGTACTATCCAGCCATTCTCCAGGGGCCAAGCAGGGTGAAGTAAAGGGGGCAGAGGGTGTGCCCCTGCTGGGAGGATAAGTTTTGTCTCCTAGTGGCTTATGGTCCCAAGGTCCCCTAATCATGGGTTTTTTTCCCCTGTCGGTGGGGTTACAGCTTCTGAAACCAGGCAGGACAGTTCCCAACATTCTGTGGCTCAATGTTGGCACTTATTTGTGAAAACAGAGGATCTATTCTATACAGCCATCTTTATACCATATTATATGTCAATTGTAGCTCAGTAAAGAGGGAAATTTTTTTTTCTCTCTATTTCTAGGCTTGGAAGTAAGTTTCTTCTTCTTTTTTTTTTTTTTCCATGAGAAAATTTAACTGAGAAAAAAATATGGCTAGTGTTTGGTTTTCTAGTTACAGGTATTAGATTAGATTCAGTGATTGGGGTTTTACACAAACTTCCTCCCAATCAGTGCAATTTCTATTTCTTGGAATCATCAAACCATTCTTAATATAATTGATGGTATTCTTGTTGATTTATTTGACTTATTTTGAGTTGACTCAACTGGGGCTCCATATATGTTCTGAATATTTTGCTGGACAAGCTTCATGAGGGAGAGATGGTTTTAATCCACTGGCTTTTTCTCCACTGCTCAGACACTTCTAGGCCTATAGTAGATGTATAATAAATATGTATTAATTAATAAATTAAATAGGTGTTGCTGTCAAGTGATTTAACATGTTTCTGCCCATTCTCCATGTGCATGGATTTACCAAATGCTGGGGAAGGTCTGAGAGATTTTAATTGCAATAATAATTAGACACTAAGAACAAAGCTGGATTTGTCTTTAAATGGAATGAACTACAACTATCTGCACAGAAAACCCTCATAAATCAGGCAAGTAAGCCAGCCCTTGAAGTGCAGTTAATATCTATCCCTTATTTCTGAGATCACTTTGGTTACTGAGTTCATGGAAGGGTATTGACAGTGAACTTTCTAAAGTTTAATAGAAATAGAACTCAATAGAGTCAAGGCTCTGAGTGAAGTAGGGGAGTAAACACTAGTAGTTCCTCCAATTTTTCCTAAAGATGTTGTCAAACTGCCAAAAGAAAATGAGAAGAGAATGGAAAATATGCATGTTTGCAGGCCAGGTTTTGAACTGTGTGGGAGATCATCTTTAAGGCTTTATGAACTCAGGTAAGTGTGTGTGGATGCCATTAAACAGAGGCCAACTAGTTTAAAGTAAAACAATGTTAGATGATTCTTTGCCTCCTAATTTGGTATATTTACATTATGCTTTTCGGAGGTGAGGGTAGCAACATGAGTGGACCAGAGAGCTCTCAGAGAAGGCCTTCCACTGCCCTGGTGAAATACAACTTAGGTGTTTATGAAAACTTGAAAGAGAATGGCTAGACAGAAGATACACTATCTTTTTTGATGTTGGCCCTGGGAGCCATGCCTCCTCTGTTTGTACCTGGTAAGCATCTGCCTACCAATAGCTGTTACCAGCAAGAGCGTTACTATGGCATACCACACCAAGGCAGGTATTCTGAAACCAATCAAATACAGGAAGGAGAGCATTTCTCAGAAGGAATGTATTTTCTTTTAGTTTCCTGTTGGTTTTTGATGGCTTTAAAAAGTATATATATTACAAAGCATATTCCATAAGTAGATTTGCAAAGATAAAACCTTTTATTCCTTCTTATCATAATGGTGCATATACAATATTTCATTTAAGCTTCATAGACTGTATACATATCAGAGGTGTACAAAAAGGTGAACAAAACATGGTTAGGATACTATCTCTAGAAAGAGCTTCAGACAGCAATTTATTCAGCCCCTGCTGTTCAGATAAAAAAAATGTAAGGCCAGAGGTTAACAGAATTGCTCAATAACGTAAGCTAACTTAGGCAATATGGTATTTTATGCATAGTTGGTATATGCAGTACCCATAGATAACTGATGTAATTGGAATGAGGTCTCATTGATTTCTTGCAATTAAAAAGTCATAGACATTAGATATTTGTTAACCACATTGTCACTGATTTAATTCCAGGGGAAAAACATGCATTTTTTTTCCTCCATATGGAGAATTTCAATTCCAAAAAAGGCCAGTTACTAAACAATTAATTTTTCGTTTTTAAAAAGTTTGTTCTTCGGTAACCCAAGAAAAAATAAAGATTTCTTAAAGTTCTGACTAAGCAAAACCATTGAGCATATTTTCATATATTTGTGGGCTACTCACATTTCTTTTTTTGGTGATTTGGTTGTATGTCCTTTGTCTGCTTTGAGGGAAGTGAGGGAGAATTGATCCTTTAATTTTTTAAACCTTAATTTGTGATACGAGTTGCATTTTCCCCTCCCAGTTTGTCAATTGACTTGACTTATGCTGCTTTTTTTCTATCTCGCATGATTTTAAATTGAATTTTGAGTTGGCATCCAGCTCACTATTTATTTTCTTAAGGTGTGACAGAACACACTTCTAAGCAACTATTTAAACCAGAATTGCACAGAAGTTAGCAGTGGTTCTATACATATCTATTTTAAAATATTCAGAAAGATTCTTAGATTTTCTAGAGCTAATCAGCGTGGCCCATAATTTAACACCAAATGAATTTTTGATTTATAAGGATGTGGATTTTTTAGACTCTAGGGCTACTTATTGAGAATGTGTCAATATATGTTTATTAACTTGATAAGTTCCTAAAATACATGCTTTCTTAGTTAATTTAGCAATTCTGAATTCATTTAAAAGTAAGCTAGTTGTTTTATAATAAAGTTATTCTTTTCTTTAAAATTTAGTATAATTTATATACATAACAATGTACAAGTTGTTTTTGAAATACAGCTTAGGATATATCCAAACCTTAATTTTTCCAGATAGTTTTCAAAATAATCTTGACTTGTTTTTCTTATAATCACTTAATGCCCTCTTAATAAATGGAAATTACTCTTTTTTGAGAAAGTGAAAACAAATATGGCATACATTTTTCTCCAATCAGTCTAAAAGGAGTGGATTTTGCACTATAAAAGAAAAAGAAGATATTTAAGAAAGACACATGTCTGTAAAAAATAAACAAACAACATAGAAACCGAGTTATAAAGGGAACAGACTGAGAGTTGGCAGAGGTGAGGGGGACTGGGAGCCTGGGTGAAAAACGGTGGAAGGATTAAGAAGTACAGATTGGTCATTGTAGAATAGTCGCAGAGACTCACTTTACAGCATGAGGAGTGTAGTCCGTGGTATCATAGTAACTATATGTGCGGCCAGGTGGGTACTTGAAATATCGGGGGGACCACTCTGTAAAGTACATGGATTGTCTAACCACTATGCTGTATATCTGAAGCGAATACAGAATAATATTCAATGGAAACTGTAATTGAAAAATGAAAAAAAAGACCACAAACATATAAAAAGATTAGCAAAAAGTGAGTTAAAATGTTAGAAGTAGTTATCACTGGGTAGTATAATTAAATGTGACTTATTTGCTTTTTACATATTCCTCCTTATTTTCCAAATTCTTAATGAACCCGTTCCATATTATAAACATTTGAAGAAAAGAAAAATTACAAGCTTGTAAATAGAAATTCTAGGCAACACTTCTTTTGAGTAATTGACACTACTTATATATTCTAAGTGCAGTGTTTCCACCGACCAGACGCTGTGTGCTTTCAGCACAAAGAAGGAAGACGGAGGAGTGACAGTGTCCAAACTAAGAGGATGGAGCTTCCTGAGATATCGGGAGAGCTTCAGCATCTTCAAGTGCGCAAGTCTGCATCTCTGTGAAGTCACTTCAGTGGTTTTATGAGTCTTGGATCTTTTTCTGTTGAAATGAATTGGCTCCTTTCCAACAATCATTTTAATTTGAGAAGTTCTGTAGCTTTAAGTACTTTGTCAAGGAAGGACACTGAAGTAACAGGAATTTTCTTACTGAGATGGCAATGGTGTATGTTTCTATGCAGTTTTTAATGATGAGGAAAATGGTTTTCATTTGGTGAAAGAGAAACAAGGTTCAATATTATACAGTCAACATAATCTCCAGGTTTAACCCTGTAAATGTAAAATAATATACAATGAAGCTTAAAGAATACTAACTACTTGCCGGGGGAAGCTATTGCTGGTAATTTTTATGGTTTTTTTTTTTTTAGTTTTCAATGATAAGCACAAATTACTTTAAAAGAAAATAGTTTATCTAAAAATT